TAGTTTTTATTGCCGAGCATGTCTTTGGTCAGCTGGGGTCAGCTGTCGTGGCTGTGTCCCCTTCCAAGTTCTTGCCCAGCCCCAGCCTACTTGCTGGTGAGGCAGCATGAGGATCAGAAAAGGCCCTGACATTGTGTAAGCCCTGTGGAGCAAGAGCTAAAACATGGACATGTTATCAATGCTGTTTTGCTCACAAATCCAAAACAGCACCACCATAGGTACTACTATGAAGATTAACTCAATCCTAGCCAAAACCAGTACAATTGGAGAGAGTGGATATTATGCTGAAATACTAATATGAACTTTTAGTTTACAAAGTACCTCTTCCTGTGGAGGTGACTGGAAACAGTTGGTGTAAAATAACACTTCTTCAAAGAGCAAATTTGTCTGAATTAAATTCCTGCTCTGAAGGGCCTATTTCCATCGGTTCTTGAGAGGAACATAGTCTAGCTTTTATGAATACCTGTCATTACCAACGTTATCATCCTAGTTTATTTTTCATCTTTTGGAATATGAAGTGGAAATATAACACATTTTGAACTTTGGTTGTTATCTGCCAAGTATATAATTATGTGCATGCTTTTACAGTCTGTTAATACTGTTAGATTTTGGTAAATATGAAAACAGAATTGTATAACAAGTGTATTTCATGACATCCCAGAACCAGCTGTCTTACTGAGCTCCTTTAAAAGTCAACAGAATTGTGGCTGCTCTTTGGTGGGAAAGAAATTTGAGCTATTCCTAATCATCAGCAAAAAATGTCACACTATTACATAATGATCTATGTTCTTTATAGAAATCCAACTATTAACAGTAATATGGTATGTATTGGAGTTCATCTTCTGTTGATCTAACAAGAATTTTCTTTTCTAGTGTGGATCCAACCCGATTACTACTAACATTTAATGTTTCTGTTAATCTTGGAGACAAGTACCACAAAAACACAGCATTGCACTGGGCTGTGCTAGCAGGAAATACAACAGTTATTAGTCTTCTGTTAGAAGCTGGAGCTAATGTTGATGCTCAAAACATAAAGGTAAACACTTGGTCTGTTTTTATTGTAGGTGGTTTGAGGCAGAAATAACTGAGCCTATGATAAATCCCAAGAATAGATTATTATTGTGGGTATGGTGGGATTGTGAAGATGAAGCAAAAGCCATGCCACTGATGTTTAATTTGGGAATCAGTTTTTCCTAACTGTGATGCATAACCACTTCATCTGCACCCTCAAAAGTACTTGTGTAAATAATTTAGCAATGATTATGTGCCAATATATGGGAGCAGGCTGTGCAATTACACTGCATGCATGAAGACCTACACATTTGGATGTGAAATTGGAAATCTGACAGAATATCTTCCTGTGAAGTTCTGTGGTGACTGTTGGAGTGAGATGAGAGACATCTCCGTACTCTTCCAGAAAGGTGACAAACACTCTTGTATATCTCCCAGTGGCAATAAGGAAGTTGGAGGCCTGAAAATACTTTGAGTCACCTGATACTCTACCAGAATCTCTTAAGGCTGAAGCTAGATGCAGCACTATTGGAGCCCATCCCTACCGTATGTTAGACCAGCCAAGCAGGTGTTAGAATTTGTGCTATAGACTTGGAGTCTGTACGAGCATCTCCAGCAGTGGAAGATGCATCTACTGAATTGATTTATGTCCACTGCCTCCAGACTCTGCTGTATATTAGGTGCACTTCACCACCCAAGATGTTTATTCTGTGGTGTCAGAGAAGAATTCAGTTTTAGAAAAAGAATTCTCTACTCAATTTCTCCTCCAGTATTTACATTTTCCACTTAATAACTGTTACCAGTCGTGGTTACACTGGAAAATACATCTGTAAATCTATACTTATAAAGTATTAAACGCTTAATTAAATTTATTTGACCTTTCACCATTTTCTCTTGTGATTAAGATGGCCAGGGCCTATTTTGCTTGGCCACGAGTGATAGAAATAAATAATAATAATAAATATATATATATACGCACACACATCTGTTTTCTTCAACAGCGTGGAACAGTCTTTTTAAAGGTGCAGTGAAATTTAGCTGGTGGCTTTCTAGCTCCATCTACTTTAGAGTATCAGAAATATTGGTACTCTAAAGTGAGTGTATAATGATAAAATGAGAATACTGTTCATGAATGAAAGCTCTTTAGAAAAATCACATGGCTTTTCACACGTTTAAAAAAATCAACTAGCCTTTTGCATATCCTGGTGTGAATATATAGTTTTTCCTGGTCTGTAAGGTCAATCGTGTGGATGAATTATGCTGCTAACCTCACTTCTTGTAAACTGTTGAAAAGCTTTTTTTTCTGTGCCACCTAATGGTAAAAATTAAGGTGTTTTTGTGGAAAACAAAAATCGGTGTCATACCTTGCTTCCCTTGGCAGACTGATAAGTGTGTTAGAGTTTTAAAGTCATCACCTTACCTACATTTGTGGACTCTTATAAAACCCGTAATGAAAATTCATATGTTTGGCCAAATAAAAATGTATCTGCTAGCCTGAAGCAGTTCCTGGTCTCTCCTTCTTCATTGACAGACAGCAGCAGTCAGTAGAAAATTAGGTTTTGAACCTGCTGGATCATGATACCTTTCCGGTCATGCCACTGGGTGCGTGCCTGGTTTCATTAACCACTGCCTGCCTTCTGCAGTGGAATCTAGATTGCTTGCATGCCTTCCCAGCTTTCCTAGGATCTTCAGAGGATTGAGATCAATCCAGCAGTGGCAGTTTTGCCATCCTGTGAGTGACTTTATAACAGATGCCAATTTGGGTGACTGTAAACATACAGGAAACATATGAATTTGGTTGATTTTTCTAGGTATGTAGAAACTTCAGTTTTGTGTTTCATCTTGGACTGTCCAGCAAAAAAAGTTTTCTTTGAGCCAGAAACCAGTTGTTGAGTGTCTGGCTCATGTTTCCCCAGAAATAAAAGGAATCATGAAAGGCTCCTTTCTGATGCAGTCACTTCCGGATTTCTGCAGCACAGTTTAGTGAGGTCCTTTTCTCAGATGGCCCATGGAATCAACTGAGAGTTGTGGTAATGATCATCTTTTTTTGGCTGCGATACTAGGTACGAGCTTTGACTATGTTGTTACCAGCTCAAGGCAGTCTGTGTTAGAAAGGCACATAGTGCTGGCCACGTAGGTTTGGAACAAGTTGGAACTAGTCATCTCAGTAAGGCACTCTCTTGCTTTGCATGTCAGTTTGGCAAGTGTATGACAATAGCACTCTTATTCTAGAATGAAGCTTGATACTAGCAGTGGATTTTGTCCTGTTTGTGTTATTTATCGTCTTTATAGTATGCTGTACGTGGAAATACTACTTTTCTCTTGGTAGTAAGGTAACTTTTTCCTTTTTGAGAACTGGATTACAGTTAGAGTTGGAACCTGCTTTTCAGTTGTCAAAGTAGAGTGGTTTTTTTGTTTAGTTGATTTTTTTGTTAAGGAAATTATCTTGCCACCCCAGCAGATGGATTGGGCAGATGAGGACACAGGATTTCACAGGGAGTCAGCTTAGCACTGGGGCTCATGGGGAAGCTGAAAATTTTACTTAAATATAAGCAGATGCTCCTTTTTTACTGGAGAGTGATAGAGACCTAAAAGAGCTTTTACAGTTTAAGGAAGATTATTTTTAATTATTTTTAGAAATTGAATGGACTTTAGATATAGTTTCTTGATTAGTCAGTGTATCTGTAGGCTAGTCCGTGGAAGTCTACATGTAAAGTTCCTTACAGTAATAGCTTCAGATTATTCTTTCTATCTAGACTCTTCAAACATATACTACTGAAGCGTTATTGCTTCCTGGCAAACCAAGTGTGTTACTAGATTAGGTTCCCCAGTTTTTATTTTCTTTTTTCTTTCATTTTTTTCATTTATAAGTGAGTCAGCCATCCACCACCCCCGTGAAAACAAGGAAATCGTGAAAATGGCAAGATGATGAGAAGCACAGTCAAAAGACTTCTTTAAAGCTCCCTCAATCTTTTTATCTAGGCAGTTCCTAGGTGTCTCATGGCCCTCTAGTGGAAGGGATGCTCAGCTGGACCACAAGACAACTTCAGGATTTACTTGGGAGATCAACTCCCAGAGGGGATTGCTTGTCCACAGGTAATCTTTACAGTCTGGATATATAAGGTGATATTAAACCAGCAGCATCTCTGAAGTTTTCCAGATACTAGCAATTCAAGTTTCTGTTAAATTTATGGTGAAGCAGGACCATAGTTTGATTTCAGGCATTTCTGTTAAGGATGGAGTTAACTTAATCTGTTTCTTAAACATCTGGCTAAATAACTTTGAAGCCAAGTTAAGTCAAAAGGTGATTTTTTTAACTAATTTTTATAGTTAAACTTCTTGCACAGGAGTGCAAGATCCTGTTTTAGCAAAAAGTTTCACCTCATAACCTGTAGTCTGTGCTGTTTACTCTCCTTTTAGAGATTTGGAGCAAGATTTCAAAGGCAAAAATGACAGTTAAATACACAATTCCCATTGTCTTTCTATGGGATATAGGTAGCTAACTGTACTTTTTAATCTTTGAAATCTCTTCTGTCTATAGTAATTATTGCCCTTTCCGGGTAATTTCAGTTTCTGGTACCTGTCTCACTTTTTTTTTAGGAGGGGGCCGAGCGATGGAGGATTCAGCCATTTTTCAAGCCTCCATGAATGGTTTGTTTAGGAGGGGAGTTAACTCCAGTAGAAGAGAGGAGGAGTCAAATGCAAAACTGAAGCTGGAGGTACCTGCAATTGGTTGTCTCTTGCCTCCTCTATAATTTTAGACCCAGTCAATAACATTCATTTAGCTCTCTTCCTAAATGTTTAAAAACCAATAAAATCAAATCAGTTTGGTAGGCACCTTTGGCCCCTCTACCTCTCTCTGTGTCTCTCTTTTGCTTTGTCTGTTGGTCCTTTCTGAAAGTGGGGAAAGAGAAAGCATGGACCATTGCTGGCTTAGCACCCAAAGTACACGGAGCACAAGCTAAGCATAAAAGCTCAGAGTTTGGGAATGAGTTGGAAATGAGCAATCAGTTTATTCTTTCCCATTTTCTTCCTAGGACTTCAATAACAGAGATGAATATAAAGATAATTAAGCTTGTGAGAAATTTTCCGTATAGAAGTATTCCATGGTATTAGTAACTCCACTCTGTCAAAAAGGCAGAGAATTAACTGAGAAGTCAGGCTTTAGACTGTGAGAGTGTCCATGATCCAGTGGGTCACGAGTTCTTACTCTTTGCTTGATTTCTGCTGCCTGTCAATAGCTGAGGGGAAGCACAGTCTTTCATTTACAGACTAGTAGACTGTGTGTAGAACACTGAAATATAAATGTTATGCCTAAGGCAACAATTATTGCTATGTCAGGACATACATAATGTCAGGATCACACATTTGATTCTCTACTTGTCCATGCATGTACAGTTATGGGAGAGTGAAAAGACCAAAAGGAATGATGTTTGGTGTCCAGTCAGCTGCAGAGCAAAACATATGCCAGAATGTAGCTCAAGCTGATTTAAAATGTATTATTTTTGCCTGCCAATCTTCTGTTTCAAAAGTGCGCTGAATGCAGTTTATTTTTAAATTGGATGTTTCCCGCTTTTGTACTCCTGGCAGGGAGAATCACCACTTGATCTTGCAAAACAGAGGAAAAATGTTTGGATGATAAATCACCTACAGGAAGCAAGACAGGCAAAGGGATATGACAGTCCATCCTTTCTGAGAAAACTAAAAGCTGATAAGGTAAGAAGTGGTCTAACTCTTATGTAGATCAATATTACTGCTGCTGTTGGTTTGAGGGCATGTATATTTGTTTAAGGAAAGCAGTTCAGTACTGTGGTGTGTCCACGTTTCAGATTTAGAAAACATGTTTTTGTTACGATGAGTAATTACAAAAGGAAAAAAAAAAGCTTAAGGCAGGAGGAAAGAAAACGCTAATCCTCCGTACAGTTACCTTTAGTTTTTGTGCTAGCTAAATGTTAGGGAAGTACCAAGTGGTCCAGTATTGCAGGGGATAGCCAACACAAAGCTGACTCTCAGCATCGAAGGAAAGAAGCATTTTAGATACCCTGAACTCTGGTCTCATCTCTAATTATGTACCCTTTTGTGTGGACGAATGAAGCAGTCAGTCTTAACAGCATAATCATAGAATAGTTAGGGTTGGAAAGGCCCTTAAGATCATCTAGTTCCAACCCCCCTGCCATGAGCAGGGACACCACACACTAAACTGTGTCACCCAAGGCTCTGTCCAGCCTGGCCTTGAACACCTCCAGGGTTGAAGCATTCACAACTTCCTTGGGCAACCTATTCCAGTGCTTCACCACCCTCACTGTGAAGAACTTCTTCCTTATATCTAACCTAAACTTCCCCTGTTTAAGTTTAAAGCCATTACCCCTTGTCCTACCACTACAGTCCCTAATGAAGAGTCCCTCCCCAGCATCCTTGTAGGCCCCCTTCAGATATTGGAAGGCTGCTATGAGGTCTCCAGTGTAATATATAAATCACTAATGTGGAGGCCTTTTTCTTCTGAGGTTATTATTTTACATTGCAGGTAGGAGGAGGAAAGAAATGAGGGGATAAAGGGTAACATATTGCTCTGGTATGAAGAACTGTCTACCTGCCTGTAGTTTGATAACTTATGTAGAGTTAATATTTACTTAACCCAGGCAGTGTTGTGCTGGATATTAAGTATTGCTATCACTGACTTGTTACAACTTCATGATTTAAAGATACATTGCATCTTGATTATTAAAGCACTGGCAACAGCCTGAGCTTTAACCCTGTGGTAATATAATAATGCAGTGATTATTGATTTTAAGTGATTTGTGCACCGTGTTGTGTGTACATGTGCATTGTGACTGTGCTTCGAGTATCTGGAAAAAGTTCAGTGCCTTCATTGGGAATTGTACCCACATAATGTAAGAAAAAAAGCTCCTGTCTTTCTTTATAGATGCTTCAGTATGACTTTTATCTATTCTTACGTGATTGCAGTCTTTAAAGTTCACTGAAATTACCATGTGCCTCGTAGTAGTTTATACACTTTGACAGATTCTTAAGAAAGAACTGCCATTGTCTTTATTCTGGATTAACATCAACGTCTCTAGAAGACAATTCTTCTAAAATAACCAAATAAATCATTGAATTGTGATAAAATCTGAGGAAGCTTTTTTTCTTGCACATTCATTGGAGGTATGTAAATATAGGAAATTAGAAAAATTTATGAAGGTTCCTCCTTCTACGTTAAGCTTCCTGAAAATTTCTTGTAAGCTTTTTGTGGCTGTTCTGTGTATTATAGAATATTATTACACAATCTGTTCCTGAAAATAGAACTGCTTACTGATATTTGTTTCTATGTAGGAATTCCGTCAGAAGGTGATGCTGGGAACTCCTTTCCTAGTTATTTGGCTGGTTGGGTTTATAGCAGACCTAGACATTGATTCTTGGCTCATTAAAGGGCTGATGTATGGTGGCGTTTGGGCTATGGTGCAGTTTCTTTCAAAGTAAGTGTTTTAGCAGGACACTGTCTGTTTAGTGTGTGCACACAAGAAATATTTTGCTGGCACCTTTATTGGATAAAAAAAATCTTGAATTTCTTTTTTGTGTGTGTTATTTCAACATGCAACATTAATCTTTTGTTGTTTTTTGGTTTGGTTTTTTTTTTTTGTCTTTCATTACTGTTTCTGGGAAAGATCTTGTGTGACTTTAGCACTTGTAATGCTTTGTTGTCTTGCAAATAGCCATGAAATTACCTTGGGGGAATGCCACTGAGCTAATAGAAGCTAAAACCAGAGTAGAAATTCAGTCATTGTCCAGAGGAGGGTGCTGAATGTCTACAAAGACTTGTCAGCATGAATTCTGCAGAAAGCAGTCAGGGAAAGTTACTAGAAAGGAATAAAAAATGATAAGAGCAAGTGTGCTATTACAACCTGGGTTTTGTTAGAATTTAAACACCCAAAGGCATCAAAAGTTGCTTATAGAGAGAAATTAAGTCAAAGAGTGGAAAGGGGCAACTAAAGAAAAAAGCTGCTTTCTAATAATGTTACATGTTAACATGTTACCTGATCATAAAGAATTTTAGTTGTATTTGTGATTACTTTAGATATCTGTAAATGCACCTATGTATACATGTGCACACACATACTCATGCAGGCATGCTCCAGTGGATTTTCAAGATCTGTAGACTACTTTATCTAGCCTCGGCTTTTTGTTGTCATGTGTGGCATGTATAGAAGAACTTGTTATATCTTCATACTTAGAAGCTTTTTGCTTTTCTGTCATTGAATGTCATGTTCATTAGAACTATTTGCTTCTCCTTCCTTTCTATTTAAAGAGCAAAAGAAAATATATCTGTTCCTTAGACCAAGTTCATAGAATTTTAGTGAACTTGGTACACTAGGGGAGAGGTGGGAGGTCATCAAGTTTTTCCCTCTGTGGGATCTTGGAGGTGATCTGTTCAGTCTTTTTGACATCTCTGAGGCTGTGCAGTTTCCTGACCTTTTCCCACAAATAACTATTTGGCAGGGCAAATCCTCAACTACACCTCCTGCAGGAAGCAAGGACAAAATTCCTTCAGGTTTCTCAAGATCTATGTTTTTGTCAATTTTTAGATTTTTTTACCTACCTGACACACATTCAGGATTAACATTCTTACTTTGTCTAATCATTTGCTTAATGCTTAGTATAAATACTTTTTGAAGTGTTTTTCACAAACCCCAGGCTTAAATGAAACTATTATTCAAGTAGTATTTCCTTTCCCTGTTGAATTTTAGCTAACCTGCTTAGCTGTGTTTTCCTCCCTACTCCTTTCACACACACACAGAAGCAGAAATATGCACAGAGATCAGTGAAAGAAAGATTTCTGCTAATTAACTACTGTGGGTCCAAATGTCTATTCATTTACTACTCACCATCTTAGCTCATCTTCCATATAGGGTTTTCTCAAAAGACCTGAGGAACTTCCATTAGAGATGAGACTGTTACTGCAGGAGTGAAATGGAAACTACTCAGTGCGCACATTTGTCTGTGGCAGACCTGAGGGCGCCACCAAAAAAAGTAAAATGCTTCAGTGTAAGGATGTTTAGGTAGATGATGGAAGAAGATTTATTTCAGGGAGCTGAACAGTGTAGAGTGTGACTTTTGACATGTTTAGCAATTTTTTTCTTGAATATGGAGTAACCTGGTCACTCACCTAGTTGGTCTCAACTCTATTCAGTATTATTCAGAATAGTCTTTAAGATGCAAGAGATAAGAAGGTGAAAATATTTCTGATGGCTTAATTTTATTTTTTTTTCCAAATTAAAGGAGCAACATTCTATCTTCAAATTGGGTAAATCTAGTGATATGGGAAACTAATTAATCTGGGTTTTTTTCCAACTCTCTATAGGCAAGTGTACACAGGAAAGATTCAAGAATCTGAAATATTTCAATTATGTAGGCTGATAACAGCAAGGTCTCTTAAGCTTTTTTCTTACTGAAGTAATTTTAACATGTAGCTTTCATCGTATGGGTTTCCAAAGTATCTTTAGCACTGAAATCTTGTAAGTGCAGTTTGCAACCACTGTCCATTTAGACAAGGAATCTCACAGGTTTCTAACTGCCTTCACAGTGTAGTTTATCATGAGTATTTGCTCATTCTACCCTTCTTCTTTCCAGTTATTGACATTCATTTCAAAAGTAAATGTATAAATTTGAATTAAATAACTTTAAGTCAGCTGGACAAGTTGAAAACAGGAATTTCTCATGAACTTTGGTAACATTGAGGAAAATGTTTTCATGGTATATTTTGTAATATCCCATATAGAACACATTTTAACAGGAAGCACTTTTCAGAAGCAGTAGTTCAGGCTTTAGGTTTTGTAAGTTGAAACTTATCATGTGAAATTGTTCCTACTTTACAGGTCATTCTTTGATCACTCCATGCACAGTGCGCTGCCGCTTGGAATATACTTGGCAACAAAATTCTGGATGTATGTGACATGGTTCTTCTGGTTTTGGAATGATATCCTTTTTTATATACAGTAGAATAGTATTTCTGCATGTTAGTACTATGAGGTACATATGAGAGTAAGTAAATAAATTTAAATTTTTAGATGTCTGTGGCCATTAAACATTGCTTTCTGAATTGATGGTAATTATTTTATTGCTTAAAAAATGTGCATGATTTCCTTTGCTACATAAGTTGCTTTCCTTTAGTAAATGACTTTCCTTAAAATTGGCTTACAGTAGTCTGTAAAATTTCCTGTGCTTTAGCAATTCCTTAAGTGGGGGAAATGTAAGCAACTCCATAAAATATGCTCTAGCTGAGAGGTGACAGGGTGTAATTGCCTGCATTTTTAGACACCGCTTTTATGAAAAGCTGGAGGTAATCTCTTGATATATATCAATTCCAGTGAAATTAGCTTTCTTGCTAAAGATTTTGCAAATTCCATTTCATACAAACTTTAGATACATTTGTTAACTGCATTTTCAGTCTTTGAAGATGTATGTATTAACAACACTAGGTTATAGATATTTCATCTTTTTATGTTTTTAACTGTGTCTAGATACGAACTTTTCATACTCACAGAGGTAGAAATCAATTCAGAGTTCACTGGAGAATGTCAGTTATCCACCTTAAGGAAATAGACTCAATTTTTTAAACAACTTTCTTGGGTATTGTCATTACAGGAGATATTTAATGTTTTATTAAATGTTTAATGCAGTTCTTGTAGTTGTAAATAGTTGAAGTGAACTTAATATTTATGACGGATGTTGGCTTGACTCTTCTAGAAACTAGTTTTCATCCTCAAAGGAATTACCATGAAATAGGATAGTAGCAGTGCAACCCTTTTATTATCTTGTTAATATATTCTCCAACCCTAGCTAAATAAGCTTCATATTTTTGCGCTGAGAACAGAGAGGAGACCTTGCTTCCATGTTGCTTATGTCTTCTGTGCTAATAGTGTTTGCAAAGGTGTTGGGGTGAACAATAGCAATCCTGTGAGCCTGGTCATGACTGCTATTTCACATTTAAAGAAGTTAAAGATTAAAATCTAATTTTTAAAAAGGAAAATATATCAATATTAGCGTGAGTAGGTCTTGAAATACTTTTTTAGAAATGCTGGTCCCACTACCAGTCTCTCTGCCTGGCCTGATTTTCTTTGTTTTTATTCAACTGAATTTACTAGTAACTACAGAATGAGGAAAGCAAGTATGAAATGAGAACTGTTTTTTAAAAGCAGTGGTTAAAAATGGAGGTATATTTTTCCAGTTTTTACGGAATGGAGTAGAACTATTAAATATGTCATGCCTCTAGGCTGAAGTTGCTCTTCTGTTCTTTTTGTTAAGTAAAACTTTAATAAATAGTAAAATACAGGTTTCTGAGGCAGTTATAAAAACTACAGCACCTCACTTCTGAATCTCAGCTCTCCACACCATGAGGGTTTCCGTTAGAAACACGTTTGCTAATGCTACTATCTGTTTTGGGTTGCAAATGTTGAGCTATTGTGAAATGCTTTCTTGTGCTAGCATAACATCAGCTTGAACCAAACCGGAGAATGTGTGCAACTTTGATTTAAAGTACTAGACCGTATTAAAATGGCTGCACAGCCAGGACAACCTCGTCATGGCCTCAAGCTTGGTGTAGAAAGCTGTCCCTTAAGGCTGGCAAATTGTGAGATTTTTATTCTGATGCTTCATGTTTTCTTCAAATTTGTGTCGGCTTGCTTAGCTTTTTATTTGTTAGCTGTTCTGATTAAAGTAACGAAGTTTGGGAGTGTTTTGTCATAGAATAATGTTCATTGTCCACTACTAGAAGTAGTAATCACAGACAATTATTTACGCTACTAAACTCTGACTTCTGAATGTCAATAACATACTGTACTGCTTCTGTAGTTTAAGGTAGGTGCCTCAAAACCTTTGCAACACTTTTTGTACACAGAAGTAGTGGTCTAAAAACTTCAGTTACTAATTGCTTTCATTAGAGCTGACACACTTCTCTGACAAGCAGTTTTAGAGTAAGTGCTTGAGGCCATGTTCCTTTAATTGGTGATTTTTAATTGGAAGTCTTTCTAATAAGATTCCAAATTCATTATTCTTGTTGTGGAAAATTGCCCTGTAGCTTTATTGGAAAAAAGAAATTGCATGCCTGCTTTTTTTTTTTTTTTAAATAGCATGAGGCACAGCATTGTGGTTGGAGAAAGGGTTCTTGTATTTTTACAGCTTTATATGATTACTTACAGCAGACCAGAGTACTACTTTATATTCCGTAATGTTCAAGTGAGGAAACCTGTCCTTGTAGTTTCTACAAATTCTGACCATCTTTCGCTCAGGAAAAAAGTTTCAAACCTTAAACAGCTGTCATGAATTGGCTTACTGGAACTTTGTATTATAAATAATATAAAGGTCTTAATCGCTGCAAATGTTACTTTACTATTTGGGTATTTGGTAAGAATTTTCTTTTCTTGTAGGTGTGTTGAAGGTGTCTGGAAGATCATCTGGTCTTTTGGGTTTAATCCTAATGAGACAGAAAAGGGCAGTTGCAACAATCTATCATAAAGGACAAGCAAAACTGAAGATTAGCAGTGTGTTTTCTTGAATTTTAGGGTGGTCACATGAAAATAAGTCTGTAATTTCTAAGGCAGTGACATGTCTTCTTAAAAGACCAATCTTGAAAGAAAATTCGAACAGTTTAGATGAATCTAGTATACTGAGGTTTTGTAAATGTTTTCATTCTACTGGGTTTTTCTCACAGAGGCTTCTGAGTCTGGTGTATTTGTTGAAATAGAAATCTTATTCTTACTGGGAATGAGGAAGTTATGATCGGTGTATTATGGATATAGAAGTCTATGATCCTATGCTTCCCTGCCATAGTTTTACTGCTGTTTTACTGCTTCCCTTTAACTGTATTTTGCGCATAACAAAGGATAGTTATGTTTTGCCATGTCAGTGTATTCTCATCTTCTACTATTTGCAGAGTAGGGGGAAAATACCCTTAAAAATCCTGCACATTAAATCACTGTATTTTAATTTAGTTTTTCTAAAAAAGGATTTAAAAGTACACTTTTAATAACGTGAGACTAGAATTTCACATTTCATTCTATTTTCGTTAGTATTTATAGGTAGAATGTTCTCTCGTGTCCTGTAAAAAGTTGAGGGCACGTGTGCCGAGTTCATGTCTCAGTTGTTCATGCAGTCTTTTCAGTTCCAGCTGAACAAATAGTGCTGGTTATGTAAGAAGGTTCTTACACTGCTCTCTTTTTCTAAGATGTTAGGGTTTGCTTGTGCAAATGGAGTGTGTGGTATAGCTTTTCTGGTATAGCACAGTACTTGCAATGCTAAGATTATGAGATGGTATAAGTTTATAATTTAAAATCATTTATCATTGACTAAGACTGTATTCTCTTGTTTCAAATATACTTTATGTATCGATGGGGTTTAGGTGAAAGAAACTGCACACTTCAGTTAGAGATCATTTTAAACATGGGGTGTAGGAGAATTCATGGGGATTTTCATACTTTAACAAAGCTGTTCCAACAGTATAGTGTGTTAAAAATGGTAACAAGCCAATTGGTAGGGCTAAGCAATTAAACAAAACCAACATTCATATTGTACCCAAATTACTTTCAGGAAAACAGCAAAAAGCCTTGCAAGCAGAAAGAAAGAATCTAGCAGCCATGTTTCTAGAAGAAACCAAAGACAAAAAAAAAGAACCCCCAGGCCCAGCGATCCAGAACTTTTGTTCCTATGTCTAAATTTTTTTCTAAATTTAAAAAAATAAAAACTATTTAATTATTTTTATTGGGGGAGATGGCAGTGAATGCTTCCCCCCCCCGCCCCAAGCCAAGGGGTTTTTTATGTTAGATGAAAGATGGAAGTATAGAGAGCTTTTGCAGAGCTTCAGTTGATTCAAAATGGATTTTGTCTAATATGGCTATTCAAATGAGACTTCTTGTGTAGCTATCCACTCCTGCCTACCTGGACTCTTGAATCCAGATGTACAGCTGCTGTGAATTGGCAGGGTCATTAGCATGTATTGATCGCTGTCAGCTTTCACTGGCTGCAGGTTTTTCTCTGTAGGGGAAAAGGATTTATTTCTGGGTTTGTAAATAGTGGAGGGGAGTGTCTTGGTCTGTAATGTGCATTTTGGCTTGCTTTCAGGCGCTTGTATGATGTGAAGCTCTTGATAGCAGGAAGCTGCTTATGTTTGGGCCTTTCTAAATAGGTTGCAGTTCAGTATGGAAAATTAGCCCATCGGGTGTTTACCTCACTCATGGGTTGTAGGGTACTTGTTATGTTTTAGTTTTCTTTTTAATGAGATGGTCTTTTTGGTTCCAAGAGGTTTCCTGGAATAATTTTCAGCCTGTTGAACTTGTTCTAAGCATTAAAGGCGGATACTGATTAGGATTAAAAGTAGGAAGTATTTTGTGGGTGTTTCTGCTTTGATTCTCACAGCGATAACTGGGAAAGCATCATAAAAGACAGCAAATTGGTGACAAGGCAGAAGATGAATGCCTGCTATATCATACATTTTGCAGCCCTTAATAATATGGTAATGTGTTTTGCCTTGTGTAGTTGTAAACGAGGATATTAGGACAAAACAAGGCACTCTAGAAAACCGCTTCCTTACTCCCTAGCTAATGCAAACCTACAAGGGTTTCATGCACATGGAGAGTTTTGAGAGATGTCTGTGATAGAAGATGCTAAAATCTCTTTGGGAATAAACTTCAGTGGAGAGTTCAACATAGTTTTGAATACCTCTAGTGTGGACATCCATATTCAAGTTAGTTGTTTAAGCTCTTTTCATAACCAGTGGATTAAAATAGCCACTGGTAGGGCACTGCTTCTCTGACTTAATTTAAATATCCTAATGCTGAAGATAGATTGAAGGTGGCTTTTTCCTATCTGTTGTGTATGAAGGCATGCTGAGTGATTTAAGTAAATGAGATTAATCCCACAGTTGGAGTTGTTTATCTACGTCAGATGCCAGAAATACCCTGGAGGAGGCAATTCTTTCACCCTCAAAGTCTGGTTGGTTTTCATCCCCTCTCTCCAGTTTTGTTTAAAACTTATGAGAAATAGGTTTTTGAAGGCACTTATGAAAAATACTGGTGACTTTATCTTTCTCCATTTACATAGTTACTATTCATCTATACTTAACTCTACTTTCTCATGTAGTCTCCTGAGATCGCCCATCCTTAGCACAGAAGTACCTTATCTGCCGCCAGTTAAACTGTCAGCATTGCACTCATCTGAAACCACCATGGTAAGAGGAAGGGCAAAACTTAGACTGTATTTTACAGAGTCAAATGGTGGAAGAGTAGGCTTAGAAAATGGACAGCTTCGTTATCACACAGATTGTCCAAATTTTAGTCAGTACAAAAAACAAAATTCCAAAAAGTTATGGTTATAAAAGCCTTTTTACTGGATAGAAGATAAGTTGTCTTCTCCCCCGCCCCCCATCTTCTTTAACAGTCTAGACATGACGTAGAGTAGTTAGGAAGGGGTCATACAATTTTTTTCAGTTGCACCTTTATTGTTTGTAACAGATGTCTGATTAAGGTTATTATAATGGCAAAAAAAAAAAAAGGTTTCAGTGTTGTGGCAAAACCCCAGTGATACTTTTAGTATTCTAAAGAAAATGTAATCTCTCTTTAGCAATACAAACGCGCTGAACCAGTTTGTTCTTGGCAGCAGGTAATTTTTAGGAAAAAAAAAAAGGAAGAAATTAGGTTGTAGAAATATTAAAGTTGCAGCTTTTAATCTGTAATGTATCAAATAGAACTGTGTTCAGGCTATAGTGTAGCTGGTGCATTTGTTCCCCTATTGTAAACTTGGTGGAAACGATTAATTAGCCTTTAGTGAGTTAACACTAACATTCTACTATATGTTACATGATTAAAATTTTAACTTGCCAATATTTTTAATTAGAAATTCACAGCCAATTCCTCCCAGCAACAGAAGGAAAACAAGTTATTCAGCATACACTCCACATGAACAATAAGACTTTCTCAGCATTTCAGAAGTAAAAAAAGAGACCTTACTTGCATTTATTCCGATTTCAGAGTCTTTTCAGATCACATGATTAGTATAGGATTTGAGATACTCTATAGAGTATACTGCTACTCTATAGAAGTGCTGTTTTTTCAGTTAATAGTTTCTTGTATCTGTACCACATGATTTGTTTATAAATAGTTTATGTAATTTTTTCTTATTACTGCTTAATGCCTTCAATGAACATTTTTCCAAGAACAGTCAGAATGGAATATATTGTAGATGTATAGTAGAATGTATTTGCCATATAGTGCTTGTTTTCAAGTCTTATATGCAGCATTTTGTAATGCAAGCACACGTGTTAATGTTGAGTAACAGTAGAAGTTACCAAATTAGAGAGAAATATTCATTTAATTTACTCAGAATATAATGTAATTTGGGTGCGCAGTGAGTTGATTTATGTCTTGAGTAATCAGTGTCCTTTTTGCCTGGATAATGCTGCAGAGGCTTTTGCCACCACAGCTTTGTCAAATACGGCATCTCCTTGCAGTTATGATTGACAGCTGACAGGTATCTTTTAGTTAGGTTGGTTAGGGCTTTTGTAAGCTTATCAGAGGATATAATTTTCCACCTTTTATGGAAGAGGCATGTCTGAAGTATTTGTTTTTTCAACATCATTGCTAAGAAATGTTTTATTTCTTTGAAGAAATGTGATGTGTTATAAGACTACGCATGTTATATGGCAAGTCATTCAACACAGGAAATGTGTTTTAAAACTAATGGTTATTTTCTGTCTTTATATGGTAACTGATTTTATAAACACTTCCAGAATACTAAATCCTGTGGGTTTGTAAGTATTAGATGTATTAGTATGTTAAAAATAACTTTTGTTGGTGTAAAATATGGGTATTGCCTTATAATAGGACCGGGTTTCAGACAGCACCTTTGCTGGAGATAAGCGGTGTTGAGACATGATTGCCATGCAACAGTGGTTGTTGCAACACAATTCCTTCTATGGCTAGAAGGAGTCCTTTCTGTGGTCTTACAGGAATGTCAAGCAACTAAAGACATAGGCAGTCAGATGTCTGTCTTATAAATAGAGCTCTGAAATGCTTATTGTGAAAACAGGAAATACTTTTGAGAAGATAATTTTCATGGAGTTTTTTTAAAAGGGAAAATAATTATGAAAATGAACTATCATTCATTCTTTAGAAGGATAAGTGATTTAGAAATGTCTCATGGAGAACAGCACTTTAAAACATAAGTTTTCAAGTTTGAGCAATAGGAAATACTGAGTACCAAGCTGGTTCATACAGCTGCGCTAAGTTTTCTCAACTCAGAAGACAGTGTCCCAAGGGCATCCGTGAAAATTAAACTCATTTAAATTTTATTTCAGAATTATCAGTGGGTATTTTCAAGAGGAAATTTGGGTTTAAACTTTAAATTCCTTGACTTCAAACACATCTCAATTTTTTCTTTATACATCTTCCATTCCTCGCAAATAGCGTTGCACTTTTCTACAATTTTGGAAAATCCTGGAAATCTGATCCAGGAATCATCAAAGCCACAGAAGAACAAAAGAAAAAGGTAAAGCCATGAGATACGTGAAACTTGTTCTTCAGCAGGCTTCCACTAGTTGGTCAGAGTAGTTTTGCTGTTCAGTAGATGTAATGTCAATAAATTGTCGTACGACAGAAGGTCTAAAACATTGAAAAGTCTTGTCTTCCAGCTTTCTTTTTTATATTTGAAATATATGTTCAAGTCTTACTGGTTCAAAGTTGTGTTTCAGTCATTTTGAGTAACAAAATGGACTTTTTATAAGGGCTTGTAGTGATAGGACAAGAGGTAATGGCTTTAAACTGAAAGAGGGTAGATTTAGATATGATATAAGGTAGTTCTTTACTGTGAGGGTGCTGAGGTGCTGGCACAGGTTACCCAGAGAAGCTGTGGCTGCCCCTTCCCTTGAAATGTTCAAGGCCAGGTTGGATGAGGTGTGGAGTAACCTGGTCTAGTGGAAGGTTGTCCCTGCCTGTGGCAGGTGGCTGGGTCATCTGTAAGGTTCTTTAAAGATGGGACTAAACCCAAACCATTCTATGATTCTGTGAAAATAAAATTGCAACTTAAATTTTCAAGACTTAAAGTTTAAAAAGAAGTTGGGTGAAAATGAAAGTGTGATGTTTCAGAGTTTTGCCTAGCTGAAACAAATAACCCATTATGGGAAAAGTGTTAGTTAATTTGATTTTTCTAAAAACTTTCCAGACTTTCAAGCACCTCTAATTTTCCTTGTGTCTAAAAGTATAGGACTGACAAACATTTTGAGACTAAATCAACCAAAACACCTGGCAATCTGGGGTGGATTTTTTTTTTTTGGTATAGATATTAGAGAAAATATGGATGATCAAGTGATACCTTTCTAAGATGTTCTAACACTGTTATTAGCATTTCTGATTTCTTTTAAGTGCATTGTTCTCAGCAGCCAAACTGAGCACTGAATATGTAAAAATTATACAAGCAGCAGAAGTGCTTTGTTTGTTTCATTTTGTCTTAAGTTTCCTAGAAGCTCACATCCCACCAAAAGTGAGATTTGAGCTTCTACTTCAGTCATTTGTGAAAACACCTGTGTGGATCGACATCAAACCATTGGAATTATGGCCTTAGATAGGAATGAAAATATAATAGGCTTTAAAAGGATGGTTGCCATATCTTAAATGATTTTTGTATTCTCCAACAGGTTATAACTGGCTTGTTTAGCCAATGTGCACATTTATTTTGCAAATTCCCTTTCTGTTATTGCAAATTTGCCAAAGTAAATTCCAGACTAAATTCTCTTCTTTCAACTGGACTAAATTAAATAGTATAGTCAGCAACTGCACTTTGGTTTGGATTCATCAAATTATACAAATATGCAATTCATTTGATCTACTTGCTTGAGTAGTTGAGTGTGGTTACAAAAGCCTTGCTGAACTGGGTAGGAATTACAAAATGCAGCTTCTTCAGGCAGATGCATATGGCTATGAGTGTTCTAGATTTCTTACATTGCAGTTAATCAATCTTTAAAATGATCTATTGGCAGGGTTATAAAGCAGTGTAGTACATGTGCCTTACCTTTGTGCAGTGTAGTGCTTTCTCACGTTTTCATAATTTGTCTGCAGGTATTTAATGTTGAGTTAGCCTTTACCTTTGGAATAAGCAACCAAAAGAATTCTTTTCATTCCAGTTGGCCAAGTTAAGTGTATTTAGAAATGTGTAGTAGGCAACAATTTTGGGTGTTTATTCTTCCGATATGTCCTTTCTTCTGTGTTGCAAATTAACCCAAGTCAATGTTAAAATAAGTAAATAAAGAAAATTTTCTGGCAGTTCAGAAGCATAGAAAATAGACCCAAGGTTTACAAAGCACAACAACGTACTCTAGCTTGAGTGCTTCTGGGACTCTGAATAAGTTCAGTGAGTTATATTTAGAAGTGATTTATCTGCTCTGGTTCAGTTCTGTCCTCCTGAGCTTTGGGATCTTGCTTGTGGATGATACTGAACTCCAGTGTTGAGCATCACACCATGTACATTCTGTAGTGTAATTGTCGTGGTTCAAGCCCAGCCGGCAACTTGGAACCACGCAGCCGCTCGCTCACTCCCCCCCTTTTCCTTCCTCCCCCCGCTCCCGGAGGGATGGGGAGGAGAATCGAAGGAATGTAACTCCCACGAGTTGAGATAACAGCTCTCCAGTAACTAAGGTATAATACAAACCACTACTGCTACCAATAATAATGATAAGAGGAATAACAAGGGAAAAGGACACAACCGCTCCCCCCCCGCCGACCGATACCCAGCCCGACCCGAGCAGCGATCTGGGCCTTCCGGGTAACTCCCCCCAGTTTCTATACTGGGCATGACGTGCTGTGGTATGGAATACCCCTTTGGCCAGTTTGGGTCAGGTGTCCTGTCTCTGCTTCCTCCTGGCTTCCCCTCCTCTCTGGCAAAGCATGAGACTGAGAAAGTCCTTGGTCAGAGTAAACATTACTGAGCAACAACTAAAAACATCGGTGTTATCAGCATTGTTCCCAGACTGAAAGTCAAAAACACAGCACTGCACCAGCTACTAAGAAGGAGAAAAAATGACTGCTGTAGCTGAACCCAGGACAGTAATGTATGCTCCCACTGAGATCAGAGGAGCTACTTATGAAATTGTTCAAATATATTGTATGAAATTGTCCAAGGTATCAAAAGGCACACCAGCAGCACTGAAATCTTGGTAGATACGTCTCATTGTGTGTTTTACTTTCTGTTCATCTGGCTTATTTACAAAGTTACTCTTGTGAGGGATGCCCTTTATCTTCAAGTCCCGTAGTGGGGATATTAGAGCAGTGAGGGATGGCAGAGGAGGATGAGAAAGGAATGCAGAGTACTGAAGTTGACAAACTGCATTAAAAGGCTTGTGAATGGCAGTGACTGGTTGGAAAGGGGATCTGAAGGGTTGCAGTGGTGAAGGGAAGAACACTGGCCCAATAGCAAATGGAAATACAAGTGAGGAGAAAAAATAGTGCAGCTTTCAGCACTTAGGAGCGTGAGAAAACTGTCAAGTTTGTTCCTCATTTAGCTGAGATTGCAGGGAAAGCATGAAGACACTGATTTACCCCCAGCCTGTTGACTGTAGCTTTTACTGGTTACTTTCAAGACAAGTTTCCATAAATTTTTCATAATCAGAGTAGTCTTTTGGAGGAAAACTGCAGCTACAGTCAAGATACTCACCTGAGTGGTCATCATCTTATTAAGGAAGTTACGTTTGTATTGCTATGATGAGAAAATAGTTGTAAGGACTGTTTTATTGCTTCTGCAGTTAGAAACCGCCTATATGCACATACGCGGTTTGAAAGGGAGCAGTAGCTTAACCTATTTGCCATTAGATTATTTATGCTGAGAGAATTTCTTCTGGTTCAAGGAAGGTTATTCTGTAAAAGATATTTTCAGGTTATTTTCCAGATGTTACGAATCTCAAAGTATCATTTAAGTCTCACATGGCATGATTTCAGCTGCTGGATTTAAAAATTGTTGGAAACCATGTAATGAAATGGTAGGTTCCTTCTACTCCAACAATTAAGTGGGTGCTGAAGGAGTGTATAAAATTAAAGCAGCCCCCTCTCATTTAATGTTAAATTATAGGTGTGCTTTAAGTGATACCTTCTTCTGTGTATCTCTTGACCCATAAGCATAGCATTATCAGTCAGAGGAGGTTTGGTTTGCATTATTTGTTTTGTTTTTTTTTCTTGAAGCTTCAACATCTAAGGAAAGAGGTGAATGTAGATTTAAAGCTTTTGATGGGATACCACTGGAAAGAAAGCCAGGTTTTTAGACTGGCTGATCCTGCTAGCTGGTTTTATTTATGTTCCCATTTGGAAATTCAGCTGCATTAATTCTAATAGGTTTAACAACAGGTTAGTCAAACTGGTGCTAACCACTGTGTGGATGTATCTATCAAAATTAATATAAGCTTGCTTTTTCTCTTATTAAACCTAGATAGACTAGGAATAAGTCTGAGCTAGAATTAATTGAGAAGTAAATGTGCATATTGGTTTAATAAAGTAGGTTTAAAATCAATTTCAGCTGAATTTAAGTTCTTCCAGTGTGGAAAGTACCTGAAATGAATAAAGTTCACAACCCTAGGTCTGAAAAGCAGCTATTACACCAGCTGTCAGCATTTGTTTATGTGCCAAATTCTAATTTCTTACTTACCTTTTCCCTCATTTTTCTGCAGACAATAGTAGAACTTGCAGAGACAGGAAGTCTGGACCTCAGTATATTCTGCAGTACCTGCTTGGTAGTGTATTTTTTAATCACTTGCAGCATTGATTTCTGTTATGTTAAGCCAAAATTAGATATTCCTATACCAAACACATTTTTGGCCCTAATAATGCAATTTCAAAGGCAGCATTTATATGTAATCCTTGATTTAAGCTATGTTTTCAATTGATATGTCTATACACCAAAAAAACTGCAACAATAAGAGGAAAACAAATAATCACTGTGGAAATAACTTGCTGGTGTTGAAATCCAAGTATCCAATATATCTACCTAGATGGTTGGCTATACAGATAAAAAGTTATGAAGAAAACCACTTTTGTAACTCACAATAAAACTGCGGTGCTTCTAGTCAATTTATTTTCCGCCAAAAAAAATCAAGTGTATTTCTCAATTTGACAGTAATTGTAGGGGATCATAGTTTTTTTTAAGCTTGCCAAATTGAAAGCAAATGCTTTTCTCGAACTAGTTTCGCCACAGAAAATATAAAAGGGAATAATTGCTTAAGTAAAAAAAGTAACCATAGTAAATGCAATGTCTTTCTTTTATAGAAAGTTAGCTAGTAAATATAAAATCATCAAGGTTATCAGTGTTACACTGTAATGCTCTGATCTACGTAGAGCATGAATGATATAATATTCCCTACATTTAATCTGGAAAATTATGTACTGATGTGGCATGTTAAAAATGGTGTGTGTGTATATACACCTATATCTCAGAATACTTTTATATCAGTTCTTTTTTGTTGCCATTTTACATTTCTTTCAAATCATAACCTTTTTTAAAAAAATGTTGGGAGTAACTTAGCTTTTTAAGTTCTACCGAGTTCCACTCATTGAGTCATATTCCTGTCTTCAGAAAATAAGCTGGGAGAGTTTGTTACAGCTCAGTTATGAATGATAGTGACAGAATTGTAAAATTCAGACTCATTCTGTATCTTCATTATTGAAAAGCTGAAATGAAACTGGTTGCTATATAAAGCTCAATAGCTGGAGGTGAACTTTGTATGGAAAAGAATCCTGTATATATAACAAGAATAGTGTGAAAATCATTTTGATGTGGTTGTATAGATGTTTGTGTTAAATAATGTATAGATAAAGCTTAATACCTAAGATTTCTTTAAAAAATAGTATCAGGTTTGGACTTTTTTAAGGGGTTAGCAATAGCAAAATCAATTTACATCTAAATGTGGGGAGGGTCCTATTTAAAATATGTGAGGATTTTTTGCTTTTCTAAACAAATGTTAATAAACCTTACAGATACGGAAGCCAGTGAGGTCCAAACACTGTGGTGTGTGCAATCGATGTATAGCAAAGTTTGATCACCACTGCCCGTGGGTGGGTAACTGTGTAGGTGAGTAACTTCCTAAAATATGATGTTGTCTTAACAGATAAAGAAGGAAAAAGCTTCTGAAATCCACCCTGGGTGTTGTACAGGTTTGTGTCTGTTCTCGTTTCATGGTGAAAGTGACTTGGCTTCTGCCAAAGTCTGAGGAAGAACTGTTGAGGACTTCTGCTAGAGGGAAAAACATTTTCAGTATTCAGCTTAATTTTTCTTTTTTATATGCAGTTCTCTGCATTATTCTCATTTGTATTGTCTGTAATATACTCATCCTCAGAATTGTTCTTTGTCTAATTCAGTTTCCTATGTATATATTTTTATTAATATAACCTCAATTAAAAGATGCAAAGCTTAACTGCTTTTTAATGTCTGCAGAAAAGGCATGTACCAATTCCACAATGGACTATTATCCATTGCGTAAGATAAAATCCTTTAATCTTTACCAATAATTTTCAGCAATTTAATGGGAAAGTGTACTTATTCAGAATGTCATGATGATAGCAGCTAGATACAGAATGACTTCCTATTGAGATATTCTCCTCTTTTTGACTCCCCAGGTAGTCACTTATTATCCCCAGTGATGATGAAAGGAACATGTATAGAACAAGAACAAAGTCTCTAAATGCTACTATTCCCTGTCATACATTTTGAGAAACTTATCTGAAAGCCATTATTATGCAGGGGACATTGAATACTTCACAGCTAGGAAATGAGTGCAGCCTGCCTCACTGGTTTATTTTTCTAGGATACAAAGCAGAGGTAACTTTAATCTTGGGGAGGAATTAGGACCTGGATTCATTGGCAGCTGATGGCCAATAAATGCTTCATTGTGGTCCTTCCAGTTATATATAATAATGGATAGTCACAGTAGTTTGGTCTTGTGCTGAAGAGTAAAATAGTCGTGTTGGCATTTGACTTGTAATAACACATCACTGAAGTCTCACTGAGATGGACTTGCATCACTCCCTTCTATTCTACATTCCCTATTGATATTACTACCTGAACTACTATTAATTTGTATTTTAGATGTACAATAAAGAACTAAGACATTTTTAATTAAAACAGGCAAGGGAGCATGGGCTCAGGTTTTGGAGAATTGTTAGTGACTGTTTTGCAAAAGTGCAGAGGAGTACTTGTCAATGGGACAGAAGATCCAGTATTTTAATCAGTAACCGGAAAAGCATGAAAAACAGACTGGGAGGAAAGACCTTAGTGTGTGTGTAGTAAGAGAGTGAGTACTGGGATTTTTTAAAAACTGTTTTTTTAAAACAGTGGTGATGGAAAAACAGAATCTGTCTCCTGGTGGTCTTGTACTGACTGCTTGGGATAACTGGAGGTAAAAGTAAACATTAGGACACTTGAAAGTATGCTGGGAAAAAAAGCATTAGAAATCACACTCTGGGAACAGCCTGAACTGGAGTGAGCAATGGTGTGAATGACCTTATATGGCTTCTCTGTTGCGCTTAGATTGGTACATGGTGACTCTGAGCATAGGATTACAAACCAGAATCCAGTCTTAAAACAGCATTCCTGGTATGTTTGCCAAAAAGGGAAACATGAATCACACTTTTCTGGAATGGTGGAATTTGGAAATATCTTGTATAGTCTTCCTTTCAATGTGTTAGAAGGATAAGAACTTTACTAAAGATAGGTCTGAGAAATACTCTAACAGTGTGTACAGACACTAAAAACATTTGGGAATAAGACTTGGCACATAAAGGAGATTGAGAGAGATTATTTTTACCATTCTGAAGAGGCTGACAAAAAGTATAGACTGTTTGAAATATAAATTCATTGGCAATTGGGGCAAATTATTTTTATTATACCCACAAAATTTTAGTTAAAATTGCAGTGAGCAAGTCTCTAAAGGTGATTATACTTGTCTTTTAGTGGAGTATCAAAATAGCAGTATGCTTTTTATGGTTGGTTGTTTGAAAATTACAAATACTAAACTTGTAGTTACATTTCAAACACAAACTGCAGACCAGCAACAGAAATTTAGTCTTCAAGTAATAGCATGAAAGGAGCTAGACCCAAATTTTAAATTGTTCAGTCACATGGGTTCCGCTGATGTTGTACTGAATTATTGTCCTCATAGCAGTGACTCAGAAGGTAGGTCTTCTGTATATAAGAAATTATTTTATGGTTTCCCCTAATCAGGATTCTTCTCCAAGGAGCTAAAAGTAAAGAAAAATAAAGAAATGAACAAACAGTCTAAATCACTCACTCTAACTTCATCAATAGAAAATGAATTATCTTTATTATATGTTACAACCATATAGAAGAAAGTAGCATCAATTCTTACAGCATTGTTTTAGCTGTGGAGGATAACAGACTGTATTCCTGCCAGACCAGGGTGAAACTGCAGAGCATAGTGCTGTGTTTTGTCCAGTCTTGTTCACGATAGAGAAGAAAGGCAGTTTCTCCACTTCTTTTTCCAAAGTCTTTTGGTTTTTAAGCTGTAACCAGGATTGTGCCTGTCTCTTTTACGGTTTTGAAATGCTACACAAATGATTTTACCGGATACAGATGGATTTCCTGTTAAGTAGCATTTGGTTTACTATCATTGAAGATGCTGCTGAATGAAGCATCTCATCAGATGCATCTCAGATGGACCTCTAGGTCACTGTTTAACTTCCATTTTTCAAAAGAATGTCTTTAATGAAACTTAACAGTTCTGAAATTTAGAATGCAAATGAAAGTTATACCTTAGGGACATTCCCAGCACTGTTTCTCGTATGCTTTAGGTGATTGAAGGCAATGTTACAACATATTTTATGTCTTCAGGAACTTGTTTGATTTTTCAAGGAAATGTGTTTAGTCTAGCTCGTATTGTATGTGTAATTTTCCTCATCTCTTATTTATACAGTCTTTTAGTTCACTTGCTAAAAGCACTTTATCTTCTGCCTCCAGAGGATGCTCTTGTTTTAGCAGGCAAAACATTTGACATAATGAAGTAGTAAATGCTGTGTTGGTAGATGGTGACAGCCAAATCTTTTGTAGCTCATTATCATCTCTGAGGGTTTAGTTACAGCCTAGAACAGTTGGAAGGTTGCAACAGTGGACATATTTTACAAACAGAGGGAAGACTTAGTACCTCACAATTATGATGTATTTGCATAAAAGACATCTTTTTAGCTCTATTAATGTTAAAAATAGATCAGTCTTTCTGAAGAAACTGAATTTTCTTGCATTTGAATTCTGTCTTAATGAATGGGATAAAAAACATTCTGCTTATTTTAGCCAGGTTGTCTGTTCAGTTACATGTATTTGTTTTACAAGTTCTGTTATATATTTTATTTTTAGCTTCCTCGACCAGGTTTAAACCTAAGTTGTGAGTTAGCTTATTATGAAAGGAGGTTTTATATTTATTCATGTTTTTATTTCTTTTAAGAAAGTGAATGCTGCAGTCCTATGATTTTTTCAATGGAATTTTGAAACTACTGATCTGTAATTCCTGGCTGTTCAGGGCTCTGCAGCAGCTGTCACCAACATTGTTCTAAATCAATAATTTTATTAGCTCATGGAAGGTTACAGATGAAATGCATTTGTGCGAATTGCAGCTATAATGTGACAGAAATTGAAGAAAATAAAACATTGCTTTGTTGTCTGAAAAGTATAAAAAAAGAGAAATCATAAGTAAACCAGCTGATTTCACAGTCTTGAAGTTATATTGGCTTAATATGGGAGACTAATGTTTCTGTATACAATAAGCAGCAGTAATCTAAGCAAGCAATCAAACCTTCTGGTGTAGTGTTGTCTGTCTTCTAAAAGCGTAGTAATGCAATACCTGTTTTTGTGCAATTTTAGGAGCAGGGAACCACCGCTATTTTATGGGATACCTGTTCTTCTTGCTTTTTATGATCTGCTGGATGATTTATGGATGTATCTCTTGTGAGTAAATAAGGGGGTTTTGCCTTTTTTTTTTTTTTTTTTTTTTTTTTTTTTTTTTTTTTTTTTTTCCAAACTTTTTTTTTTTTAATTGCCTACAAATACTTTGTTTGTCTCCTGGTATAAATTTTTACAAGTTTCTGCCTCATCGGAGTTTTGGACATTTTTATTCTGGAATAGAACTGCACATTACTCATAGACTATATTGGGTATTTTAAGTTAGACGATGATGTTTTTCTTGTCCTAGATTTTTTTCTTTGTCACAGCCAAGTATGTGCATATGTCATGTATTCAAGGAGTTGGGAAAGGAAGAGAGAACAAATAAAACTGTTCTGGCACATTGTCACTTTCTTATTTAATACATTTGAATTTTGGCATTATGTTGATGTGCTGCAAACATATCTTAAACCTTTTGTATGTTTTCTGACACTTTGTTTATTCTCTAGACTGGGGGTTCCACTGTGAGACAAGTTATGCAAAAGATGGATTTTGGACCTATGTTACACAGATTGCTACCTGTTCTCCGTGGATGTTCTGGATGTTTCTAAACAGTGTTTTTCACTTCATGTGGGTGGCTGTGTTACTCATGTGTCAGATGTATCAGGTATGGAAGAGCCCTTCATTTGTAATGCTGAGTTTTGGGAGTGACATAAGAATATCTAATAGTTCTCTCATTTGAATTTTAATGTTCATTATGCAAGATCAAGTGTTTAGTCTCTCAGCCACGCTGGAAGAGGCCAGCATCTGTTGTCTCTGGATATTAGGCATTATTCACTTCTCATTCACTTGTGCCTTTATGGAGTTTTTGTGGGGGCAAGAGATTTAAAATACCTACCTCAAGCTTTCTATTCTCAGAATGACAAAAAGGCAAAACAGGCCAGAGAAAGGCAATAAATACTAATAGAGGATAAGATCTGTTGGTTGAACTTTGAATAATGCAATGTGTCATTAGGAGAAAAAGATGGTAACTTCAAAGGGACGCAATAGTTTCTTACACTGCTTCAGTGTGATTTGAGACTATGCTACTGTAGTGTAATTTGACCAAACCCAAGTCTTTGTGTTTCTTTTTAAGGAAAGACAAGTCATACTGAAAGCCTTTAAGTATGACTTGAAAGTCTTTCAGTGTGACTTGTCATTAATGAACCATGAGACTTCCTGATTTAATCCTTTCAGAGATCTTGGAAATAAAAATAATCCTCTAAAGCTTAGATACAACTTTTCAGGAAATTTTAAGGTTTGTCCTCCTTTCTCTACAATATTCATCATTTATAACATATATCAATTTCAAAATCTTTTATGTGTGAGTGATAGCTGTTCAGTCTTTTAGAGGTCTTTCCTGCCCACAATGAACGAGCAGAGGTAACTACATGTATTTCAGGTGGCTTTAAAGCAGTCTAACCCACCAGACTTGTAGCAGATTAAGCATGTAACTTTCTGGAGAGCCTTCCATCATACTTGCATTGTGATCCATTCAGTTCCCCATTGAGGATTCCTGTTAATGGGATCTTTGTACAAATGAATCTTTGCATTATGCCATTTAGAAAAATACGTCTCATAGTATTTTGTATCATTAGTGCAATTAAGTAAAATAATAGCATTTGACTTCTTTAATAGTCCTGGAAAAATGAAAACTGAGCACAGTCATATTACTAAATTTCCTAAGAGTTTTATGCATACAAAGCTTGGGATTATTCTTGGCAAATGTCTTTGGCAAATCATCATTTCCCGTAATGATGAAATGGATAAAAATATTCCCTAAAATGCTTCCTTTGATTTGCAAATGCATAGCCCCTAATTTTGTTGCCTGGGGTTTTTTTTGTTTGTTTGTTTGGGGTTTTTTTGCCTCTCCATCGTAAAGTTTGGACCTGGACTTATTGAACTGGCCAGAGTTATTGTCAAAACACTGCCTGCTATCTTAAAACCTTTACTTCCTACTTCAAAAGGTGGCTGTTGAGCTCACTGATATACATAGACATGAAACTTCATAGGGTTTCATGGATACAAAAGTAATGCTTGAGATACTAAGTACATCCAAATGAGGCAAGACAGCCCAAACTTAACTTTTTAAATGTTCTTGCTTCTGCAACATGCAGTAGAATTGACTTTTTATATTTCACAAGGAATGACAAGATTTTATCTTCCTGTAGAGTATAAGACTGCTGTGGACCTTCTCACATTTTTGTTTCCAATTACATCACATTAAAGTAAGATATCCTTTTAGGCTAACATAGATGGAAAGCTGTTACAGAAAATCATAGCCTTTGGGCCAAACGATAATGGAAAAAGGAAAAAACACAAGTAACAACAATCAAAAACACCCCACTCTTTTTCTGGCCATCTTTTTGTCTTGCAGACAGAAAAGTTATGTTGCTGCAACACGTGTATAAAACAGGAAAAATATACTGATGGAGCTAAAACTAGAATGTCAGGAGGAAAACAAGGTCGTTCAAATGCTGTGTAAAATAACTCCTGAATCTGTTATTTACAGTGCACTTCAGCTAGCGATGTAGTAAAGGCATCTCTTTCTTATGGACTAAGAAGTCACAGTTTATTCTATGATCATGATTTATTTCTGATCACTTTCAAAAGTAAATCTTCTGCACAGTGTGGCACAGGTGTGCTATGATATTTTACGCTGGGACCTGGTAATTTCCCCAGACAGAAAATTCCTTCTTCAAGAGAAAGAATATAAACCAGTAAACTTGGTCCTTGTTTTTCAGTCTGGTTAATGCAGGGCTTGTTTGTATGTTTTTACATGAGCTAAATTGCTTACTCTTTTTTTTTTTTTTTTTTTTTTTCTTTCTTTTTGTTTTCTTTTTTTTTTTTTTTTTTTTTTCCTGTCTTACAGATATCTTGCTTGGGTATCACGACAAATGAAAGAATGAATGCAAGAAGATACAAGCACTTTAAAGTTACAACCACATCTATTGAAAGCCCATTCAAGTAAGTTTTAAAGTGCAAGCATATTTCTTATTTGTGCAGCTTTTCATACATTTGAATTATGCAGCTTGTTGAAACAGAATATGGCTAAATACTTTCAGAGGGTTTTCATTACTTGGAATGCTGAATCTGTCAGCTATTTTTACAGTAACAGATTCTATCCAGTTAAACAAAGCGATAACCATTTTGTAATGCCTCTAGACAGGGATGCCTCAACACAGAAAAGAGTGCTTTCCCAGCAGTGGTCATAATTTGCTGTAGAGCTTATGGTGAAATAAATACTTTCTTTATAAATCAGATGCTCAGACCAGAGGTAGTTTATTGCATCATTTTGACCTGGATCTTCACTTCCACACCAGGCAGTTTCTCCTGATTGATATTTAATGTGCTGCTGAATTTGCTCTGTGCAGTAGCTCGCCTTGCTCTCTTTACTATGAAAGAAGCAGCAGCACTTCCTTCCTGCTCAGGAGGAAGACCATGGGCAAAGCTGTTTTGGGGAAAGAGAGCAGGATGTCCCAGGAACTGAAGTGGGTGTTACATGGATGAAACATGGGCTTTTGGGTATCAGTATGTAAAGGGTAGGTTGGGATTCTGGTTTCTGTAATGCTGAGGGTGCAAGCTGAAAGAGAGAGAGGGAGTCGGGGATAAAATAGCTCTGGGATGGAAATAGGGCAGCATGGAGCAGCTTGTGGAGCCAAAGCAGGAAATAAATGGAGGCATGAGGCTGGTATATTGGTGGGTTGAGATCACAGTACAAAAGGAGCAATGAAAGGACAGAAGCTGTATGGTTGCAGTCTTCCAACAGATTAGATTTGTAACAAAAGCAGGTGATTATTTTGCCTGAAGAACACAGGGTGGTGCATGGGATAGGAGAAAACTACTGGTTTGATCCCCAAATTAATGTCACATTCACAAACCATTTCACTGAAATAGCTGCTATTATAAAAATGACTCCTGAAAGTAACACCAGGTGTCTAAAATAACTGACTTGTCAGATGAACATCACCTGTCAGATGAAGCATCAACATCAAGTAGTTGTCATCTTCTTGTTGCTTAGAACCGCTC